TTGATTACCTGTGTTTTTTAGTTATTAAAAATAGATGGAGATAACTCCTCCCAAAATTCAAGATCATAAATTAGGACACATCTCACACTTGCATGCTAATAGTAATAAAATTTTAATGGGAATTTTGTCTAAATATACTGAGTATTGGTTTACCGAGGCCATGAATTTGCAATATCCATGTTCGTACTAAATGAGTTTTACTGTACTGGCATCTGCCATGTTTACATTCACAACGACATGCTTTAAGATATCCAGTTTGATTGGTAGAAGAAAATGTAAGCAAATCTATGGGTGATCAAGAGAAAAAACCCAAATGAACCTCCTAGAATGTCATTTGAGGTGACCTCACCTTGAGGTACATCACACAAAAATGTGTCTAGACCAATCAGAGAGCATCAAGATTCCTGATCATTTAATAAAATATATCACCAACAATATCAACATAGCACCAAGACATATCATATGCGGTATTTCAAATTTTGATCGTACTGATTAGGATTAATATATCTGAATGATATCAGCATAATATTGTTGATATTGTTATTATATTGACCTTGAATTTGTTATTCCTGTCCAGTGTATAGCAAGGCCATAAATAGTCATAAAAGATTCAGAAATCTTGGTGTGGATTATTATAGTACAGCATGGAAAAAATCAGATGGAAAAAGTCAGATGCAGTCTTTTTGGGGTAAAATGAAGCAAACTGAAATTTTTCTTGTGAAGAAAGATTAGAAAAATATTTTCAAAGTGACCAAAGGGGACTCAAAAAGTTAGTGTTGCAACCCATGTGGGTCTCCTCAAACTTTGAACTTTGAACCCATCTTACACTACAAATAATCCATGAATACAACAACGATTTAACACTATTATATGTAACAACAGTCCATTAACTTAATTCAATTTCCTATCCCTTTAAACTTCTGGCAAAGAAATGAACAGGATTCCGTTTATGTCAATGATCGATGTCCATTATGTAATGATGTCCGTTTCGTGAACTCTAGCCAGGTGAAATCCTGGTCACGGGGAGGTCACAGACCACTAATGGCCAATAGGTCTTTCACATCTACATATATGTATAATTGCCCAGTGGCAATAGTGGAATTATTGCAACAACATGATATAATGTATTTAATGAGTTTTGACCACTAAAAGCAATAATAATGAACTAATTACCCTGGGAGTCGATCTCGACGGGGTTTCATCTGCGCCTAGAATTATTTTTTCTTGAATAAATTCGTGTTCATGTATAAATTCATACTCAAATAACAATGAAATTATGTCCTCTTGTTCATTTCAGAATTTGACGCCAAGTCTTTCTAAAAGTGCTACATAATCACAGATAAATATGCGAAGTATAGATGATATGATTGCCTCAAATAGATGTTCAGGTAACTTGATTTCCTAACAGTATATTGTAATTTGAACATTGCTGGACAAATGAGACTCTTGTGTCTGCTGACGTTATATCCTTTAATAATGTTCATTATACATCTACGAAGTTGTTAAGTTTTGTTAAAAAAACCCACCATAATTACATATGATGCTTGGAATGGAATGGACAAATAAATATAAACGAATTGTATTTTATAGTCACATGTATATTTTATATAGAAATCTTGAATTTGGCTGCTTATCTTTATATAATACTGTAAAAGTACTTGCTATATCAGTTTTTAGCTCACCTGAGCCAAAGGCTCAAGTGAGCTTTTCTGATCAAAATTTGTCCGTTGTCTGTCGTTGTTGTCGTTGTCGTTGTCGTCGTTGTTGTTGTTGTAAACTTTTCACATTTTCATCTTCTTCTCAAGAACCACTGGGCCAATTTCAACCAAACTTGCCACAAAGTATCCTTGGGCAAAGGGATTCAAGTTTGTTCAAATGAAGGGCCACGCCTTCGTGTGTCGTGTGTTAACATTTGAACATTTTCAGTTTCTCCTCTGAAACCACTGAACCAATTTCAACCAAATTTGGTATACAGCATCTATGGGTGAAGGGGAACAAAAATTATGAATTTCATGGTCCCCGCCCCCCTGGGGCCTGACGGGTGGGGCCAAAACCACTAAAATTATTGCAATATTTAAAAATCTTCTTCTTTACTCCTGGATATCAAGCAGGCAAACTGTTGGCATAAATGTAATGAGCATTGGGTCCTCTACCAAAATTGTGAAATTCATGGCCCCAGGGTCAGGGGTTCTAGTGCTAAGGCGGGGCTATATAGATTATATAGTAAAAATGCATTATTTCTTTGAAAATCTTCTTCTCAGCTCCTGGGTATTAAATAAACTAACTAAATATAGTTATGATAAGCAAGAGTGTCTCTTCCAGATTTGTGAATTTTATGGTCCCAGGGTCAGGTGTTCTGGTGTTAGGGCGGGGCTCTATTTATTATATAGTGAAAATGCATTAATTCTTTGAAAATCTTCTTTTCTGCTTCTGAGTATTAAAAAAACTAACTAAGCACATAGTCATAATAAGCAAGAGTGCCTTTTTCAAAATTGTGAATTTTATGGCCCCAGGGTCAGGGGTTCTGGTGTAAGGGCGGGGCTCTATTGATTCTATAGTGAAAATGCATTTTTTCTTTGAAAATCTTCTTCTCTGCTTCTGAGTATTAAATAAACTAACTAAGCACATAGATATGATGAGCAAGAGTGCCTTTTCCAAACTTTTCCAGATTTGTGAATTTTATGGCCCCAGGGTTAGGGGTTCTGGTGTTAGGGCGGGGCTCTATTGATTATATAGTAAAAATACATTAATTCTCTGAAAATATTTTCATTTGCTTCTGGGTTTTATGCCAGTGATCCAAGTATATATTTTAATGATGAAGAAAGGTGCATCTAGCAAAGTGGTTTTTATGCCCCCTGGGTCAGAGTGGGTGGGGGGGGGGTACATAGTCTGAAAATAAATTAATGCTTTTGAAATCTGCTCTTCAATTGGTATAAATCAACCTTTTATGATAAAATTTGCAAAATTTTAAAATATGTTGCACCTGGGTCAGTGGTTCCTTTGGGTTGAGGTGCACAACTGGGTATAAAGTGGAAGTGCATTTTCTCTTTGTTACTCTGATCTTCCACTGGGTATTAAGTAAATAGAGTAAGCATGCTAAGTTAATAATTATGATAAGCAATGGTGCCTCTTTCAATATTGTGAATTGTGAATTTCATGGCATCTGATTTAAAACCCGAACCAAATTTAATTGTTTGAAAGTTGTTACACAATACTCAGGTGACCTATAAGGCCCGTGGGCCTCTTGTTATTAAAAAATCTTCTTTTCAAGAACCACTGGGCCAGGAAAGATGAAACTGATGTGGAATCATCCTCAGGTAGTGTAGATTCAAGTTTGTTCAGATCATGACCCCCGGGGGTAGGTTGGGGCCAAAATGGCCGATCAAAGTTTTACATAGGAATATATAGGAAAAATCTTCTTCTGAAGAACCATTGAGACAGGAAAGATGAAACTGATGTGGAATCATCCCCAGGTAGTGTAGATTCAAGTTCTTTCAAATCATGACCCCCGGGGGTAGGGTGGGGCCAAATGGCCGATAAAAGTTTTACATAGGAATATATAGGGAAACCTTTTAAAATCTTCTTTTCAAGTACTTCAAAGCCATGCTTAGTGGTATTTATAGGGAATCATCCTCAGGTAGTGTACATTCTAGTTTGTTCAAATCATGACCCCCTGGGGGGTTAAAAAAGTTAACTTTCAGTTCTGATCTGATATGTGCTTTTTTCTTAGCCAATTGCTCAGGTGAGCGATGTGGCCCCTGGGCCTCTTGTTTCCCTTGTTGTGCATTGTTTGTTAACAATATTGGAACATTTTAGCTTCTTCTCTAAAACTGCTAAACCTGAGTATCAATCGGTTTTGGTATCATCTGTATCATCTATGGCAAAGGAGAACAAAAATTGTGAATTTCATGCTCCCTGACCCCCTTGAGACTAAGGGATGGGACCAAAAAAACTGAAATTAAAGCAATCAAAAAAAAATCTATTTTACTCCTGGAGATCAAGTCAATCTTTTAGCATGATTGTGATAAGCATTGAGCCCTCTTCAAAATTTGGAAATTTATGATCCAAGGATCAGGGTTCAGGTGCTAGGGGCTGGGGGATGGGGTGGAGGAGTGGCTTTCTTGACTTTAAAGTGAAAATACATTATTTCTTAAAAAATCTTTTCCTCTGCTCCTTGGTATTTAAACTATAAACTATGTACATAGTTGTGATGAGGAAGGCCTGGTTCCAAAATTGTGAATTTCATTGCCCCATGGTCAAGAGTTCTGGTGTTTGGGAGGGGCACTAAATTAAATGATTATGTTATAAAACCGCAGTGGTCTTTTTACATAGTTATGAGGAAGTGTGCCTCTCCCAAAACTGTGAATTTCATGGCCCTTGGTCAGGGGTTCTGTGTTAAGGTGAGTCTCTATTGATTATATAGAAAAATGCATAATTCTTTGAAATCTTTTCCTCTGCTTCTTGGTATTATGCTGATGATCCAAGTACATACACTCACGTGCCAAAAGTATGTCAATTTTTTCACAAGATGGCCGCCATAGTTTTTGTTTACTACTTGAATAAAAAATGATGCACTTACCTTATTTCTTCGTATTTTGACTTAATATTTTGTGATGAATCCTTTGGATGCGATCACTTTCCGACATCTTTTCGGTAGACTGGAGTAGAGAGATCTGAGGTAAGTTTTTGACAGATTGTTCCAAGCATACTGTAGTTCGTGTTTTAAGTCGTCGATGGTACGGATGTGGAAAATCTGACGTTTAACATGATTTTTCAAAACAAGCCAGACATTTTCAATTGGGTTTAAATCAGGGGATTGCGGGGGCCAAAAAAATTGTAGAATGCCATTCCTATGTTTCCAGTCTTCTGTCTCTCGTGAGCGATGAACAGGGCAATTGTCATCCATGAAATGCCAGGGTGAATTTGCAAAATATTTTACTATCACGGGCCATAAATGTTCATCTAACACACTAATGTACTTCTGCGAGTTCATATTACCATCAACAAATGCCAGTATTCCAGCTCCATGGTAAGTTATTGTCCCCCACACCATTAACTTCAAACAGCGTGAGGGCCCTTGTCCAAGATACCCCAGGCAATATCCTCTCCATTTCTCCGACGTTTTCCTCCAAACTTTTAACTTTACCTTCTGGTTTTACAACTATGGTCATCTCATCACTAAAAATAACATTCTTCCATTGTTGGTCAACTTTCCAAGTTAATTTTCCCCTACAATACTGAAGTCGTTTCTTCTTGTTCACTTCACGGACCCCCAATTTTTTTGCCACAGTCCTTCTCCAGTACTGCTGACGATGAAGCTCGCGCTGAATATTTCTCTTAGATACAGAATTTGGCACTGACCTGTTGTATTCATTGGTTATTTCCGTTAAAGTTTTTCTTCTGTCTTTTTTTACGATTCTAGAGAGAGCCGTGTGGTCGCGAACAGTCATGGATGGGGGTCGTCCACTTCGAGGTTTATTTTCAACGTCACCCCGCTCACGAAATCGCTTTAAGAATCGACAAATTGTCGAGGAATTCAAATGTAGTAATTCAGCCACTTTAACCGCTTTTAATCCACTTTCTATTAGAGATATTACGGTCTTCTTTTCATCAATAGTAAGTTCTCGTCCCCTTCGTCCCATGCTTGTTGTTTACATTGACAATGGAAAAATAGCAGAAGTTATGACTACTTCCGGTTTACAAAGGCATTACATATTATACGGCAGCTTATTGGTGACATGAATAAGTCAAAATTTGTGAGTGAAAATAAATTTTTATTGAAAAAAAATTATTGATTTAATTTATTTACGGCGGCCATCTTGAAAAAATTGACATACTTTTGGCACGTGAGTGTAGTTATGATGAAGAAGGAACCTTCTTCCAGAATTGGGAATTTTATGGCCCTAGGCTCAAGGGTACCATAGAGAGGGGGCTTTAATGGTTATATACTGAAAATAAATTATGCTTTGATTTTAAGGTGCCTTTTCCAAAATTGTGAAACGTGTGGCCCTGGGGTCAGGGATTACTGTGGGATGGGGGCACTACTGATCATTGCTGATTATTACTGATTAGTGGAAATGCATTTTTTCTTTAATTTTTCCCCTACTCTGCCTATAGGTATGAAGAAATCATTTTTGAGAATTCTCCATATATAGTTTTAATGAGCCATATGGTACTACCTCTTTCAAAATTGTGAATTTCATGGCCTCTGGTATAAGACACAAACCAGACATGGTACTCAGGTGACTACTCCAGCATGCTAGAGGTTCACGGCGAGATACTTTTGACTTGGCGCCGCGTAACCTCTACAGGGGTTTAAATTTTCCCTAAAAATTCACTAGTCCAAGGACTATTGAGCTAGTAAATTTCACTAGTCCGTATCATAAAATTACTAGTCCAAAGTGTAAAAAAAAAAAGCATGCTTAGTTTTAATCAATTTGATTACAGTGGGTTTTTTTGTTAGTACTTTGGGACTGGGGGCTTGGGCCATAAGAATTTGGAATTTCAGCTTCAATTTGGCTAAATTAATTGGGGAATATCCCAGAAAACCCAGTCATTAAAACAGCATTGGCAAAATGCTTTGTTTGTATTACTTTATAACGAACAATTGTTATCACATATCAAGACTATTCTTGGTATGAATTATCTAATTACTTGCATAAAGAACAATAGTGGTATGAATTAACTAATGAAGAAAAATCCAATATGGCTGAACAACCACAAAACCTGCTTGAACTCTACTTGAAAAAATGCAATAAACAAACTGAATTTGATCACACATTTCGTAAGTTTTTCTTTGGGATGACTTCCACTACAATATGGGAAAATACAGGCATATTTCCCATTGGAACTGGGGCCGAATTTCGGCCCGAAAAATTACGGAATTAAAATAATTTTTCTTCTTCTCAAGACTACTAGTCCGACGGACTATCAAAGGGTAACAATTGGCTAGTCCGCCCCAATAATCTTTAGGTCCCGGACCTCGGACCACCGTATTTTTAAACCCCTGCTCTAGCATCCATTGTAAAAATTCTCGCCGCTGAAACCCCAAGTGGAAATAAATTATTTTATTAAGAAATAAGGCTTTGTATATTAACGAACGGTACAAAATAATAATATACTCAATATTTACGATAAAACTTACGCATAAAACACTTTTAACCTCTCGTATTAGCAATACATCCATTATTTTTTAAATCGAAGCAGAAATTGAAACAAATCGTCTGTTTAAAATTTGGAAATGGAATTCAGAAAATCTGACGAAACGAAACCAGTGTAATGCAACGAAAATTTCGTTTTCTGACAAGCAATCCGCAAAATTAATGTGAAGTCAAATCGAAAGTACTTCTGGTGACAAATTGGAATAATGACAATTTTCATTAATTAACAATAATGCACACTGATTAAAATTGATTTTATTATTTCTTGTGACTTTCATACCCCATGCAAACACGTAGGTACCTGAAACTTACTTGTTAACAGTTTATTTCACGCATAATACGTTCCGCCCAAAATCTTAGGCGGAACGAGCTCGTAAGAAAATGGCCTTCGGATGTAAGAGTCCGAGGTTTATAAGGAGCGTAGGGACGTTAACCGAGGCTCTTACTTGTAGGAGTATCAGGTGACCTATAAGGCCCGTGGGCCTCCTTGCTTTCAATATGATACACACTGAAAAATTGTTATAAAAATCAAGTAATTTCATTTTAACTTCAATGAAACAACAGTGCCGATGAAATCTTGGCTTTACACTTCAGACTACTTTAAAGATGAAGTCCCATGCTCTTGGTCAGGAGTGCAACGGATATATTAGAATTATTGCTGATGAAATATGGGTAAATATAAAGAGAAATAGGTAGAATTTTTTTGGGTTGACCTCAATCCCTTATTATGTCTGCAGATGATATTCCAATTTTTATGCTGGAAAATAAAGACACAAAGAACATGTTAACCAAAAAGATGAGTCAATTTTGGGGTCTGTCTGTGGATTTTTCAAAACATTATGGCTATAATCAACTAATTACAGACATTCTACAGTCAATTCAGACTGTCTCAATAGTTTTCATCACTTTGCATGTATATATCTAAACATAATGCATATTTACATTGCAAATAATCATGTTTTGAAGTCTTGAAAATATGAAAAAGGCTTCCCGTGAAGGATGTAAAATATCAAAAGGATACACATTGAGTGAAAAATTCTAGAGAGGGACGTTAAATAACATACAAACAATCAATCAAAGTTTAGATCTACAGTGGAGCCTCATTTATCCAGACGCTTTGGTTGCCAGTCAATTTGTCCGGATATGTGAAGCGTCCGGATACCTGAATCACCAGTTAAACAAGACATAATAACATTTTGAAATTCTGTTCCAATGAAAAAGCGTCCAGATACTGAAGCATCCGGATATCTGGCGTCCGGATATCTGAAGGTCCACTGTAATCATTTATATCCCTGTTTTCATTTTGAAGCATACAAAAATTATTTCTTTTGATATGTATTTTAGAAAGGCTTTGAGGATGTTACGAATTTTTTTATGAAGTAAGTGTTATTTATAAAAATTCTGAAACTGTTTTATCCAATGGTCTTTTCTATTGCCACTTCAGGAATTTTAGGAAAAAATTCGACCTTGGTGATCATTTTATTTTGATTTACCCAACTACAGTAGATAAAAGAATTGATATCCTATGTGCTAATATCCATTCAAATTCAACTTTGGTGATCATTTTATTTTAATTCACCCAACTACAGTGGATAAAAGAATGATATATCCTATATGCACTAATATCCATTGAATGAAAGAAATAAACAGGATATCAGATTTAAATAATAAATAACAGCTGAATTTTAATCTACCTACCACACCTGTCTAAACAGGAATTACGGGGTCTTGACTGATCGAATCCTGTGTCAATGTTTTCAGTATTCCAAAAGTATATGCGTTAATTTTATTAACACTTAATTAACACGTCAAGCAAAGGGATACAATTATACCCCCACAAACAACATTTAGGGGGATTTATTTGTATTGCCATTAGGCTTGCATATTGCAAGCTACCTAACGATACGATACATATCACTATATGGTCATGCACTACAACATGTATTATGATACAAGTTAAATTGATATCTTTACATATTCCTGCTTGCTAATTTAACCTTCAAAGTTAAAGAAAATATAAAAAGAATATCTTGAGAACCCAAACCAAAGTTATAGCATTGTCTTAGCATTGTATTTTTTAGTTGCTACCATGTTTTAATTACAGTCTATTTTGTAATGTTAGAATATCTCAGTTTTCATGTATAATTTTCAAATAAGACCATGAAAATCAACTTGTACTGTATCTAACTAGTAATTGGATATGCATATTGTGAGCCCTTGCGATCAATACGATCAATGTATCACTGTATTGTTACACCTTCAATCGCCATGTCTGTCTGTAGAAGAGATTTTGTCTGGATCCGTTCTCGTCGAATAATGGAGAGATCTGTCTGAAAATCTTTACTCTTAGAAGTATTTTTGACCATATGAAGGTGTGCACCTGGTAATTTGTCATGATTAGTTAAGTCAGCTTTTTTTATCTTATTTTGCCTATAGCCCATTTGTCCATCTGTCTGTAGACTTTTTATATTTTCAACTTAATCAGAACCAGACTTAACTTCCCACAAAGCATCCTAGGGTAAAGGGGCACGCTTCAAGTTTGTTCAAATGAATTGAGGGACACATTCTCATTCAAGGGGAGATAATACAGAAATAGTGAAAATTTGGTGACATGTTTTCATCCATTGTTTCTGGATGAGTTGTGGGGTGTATTATGGAGGGGTGAAAATAATGTGAAATTAGAAATTTTTGTTGGGGTTTAATTTTCGTTGTTTTCAAAGTATCAAGAGACCCACAAATTAATGTCCGCCACAAAATGTAAAATGTTAAATTCATAACAACTCAACAATTCTTCATCCATGAAATCCAATCCCCACAAACCAAGAGTTTTTCCTCAAACCACAAAAATTTGACCCCACGAAAATAGGTGATTCTACAGTAGTTGCAGCATTAACTTTCCTTTGTTTAAGCAAGATTGAGTAAAGCTACATTTAGCAAGGCTCTCTATTATGTAAGACATGCCCATTCTTAACTTTCTGGATCTACTTCTGAAAATGAAACATGCTTTTTCTCCATCTTGGCTTGCTGCTGAAATTTGTCTGCATGCCTGTTGTAATTCTCTGGGTTTACTCCATCTCGGCCTTAGCTTTTACCAAATCAGAATCCCAAGCAAACTTTGAAAGCAGAGCATTCATTTTGGTTCCTCTTCTGTAAACTTGTATATTTTTAGTGTTAGAATATACCTCAATCTGAATCTCTTCATTTTGCTCTTTTCGATTTGAAAGTGCAGGTAACATGATGCAGTATCCAAAACATGACAGATAGTATTCATCCCAAGAAGCAAAATCCAAGTAAAGCAACAGGAAAAGAAATTATGGTTGCCAGGTTCTCTAAAATGACTTGTTTCAAAAACCTCTCCTTAATCACAGCTTCCCAAGTATGAAGGATTCAAGGACTGCACATCAATTTAGATGCAAAAGGTATGCATGAACTAAGTTTTGGTTAAATGGCTCAAATAAACTGCAATAGATGGACCCACAATT